CAGGTTCTTTATCGTATTGCTTATTAGTATTGTTTATTGCTCTGTTTAATTTAATTACCATGTTGTTTTTATTTGCAGTCATCATGTTCAGTTTGTTTACGCTTAATTTCATGTCTAGCTAAATTGTCTTGAATCTGGTATGTGAGGACCCTCGTTTCCGATGGGACTCAATAACGTAGTTGGCGTAAGTTTTGCATAAATTCTGTTGTAGCTTTTGTTTCCAAGTCTAACTTAAATAGCTTTGTCACGAGAGTGAGAGGTTACTTAACATGATTTGTCACGAGAGTGAAAATTAATTAAGGTTCGAACCGACACTGCGAGAGTGTAGGGGTCGAATCGGATAATGGGAACGGGGCATCCATCCTAAAGAGGGAAAGAGTGCTTTAGGTATCGATTAGAACTTAATTAGTTTTCAAAATATGTTTCTTAATTAGAATGTGCAAGCGAGAGCAAAATCTCATGGTTAGGGAGTGTGGCTTTATTCAATAGCACATGGGTGTGAGATTCAACCTTTAAACTAATATTTTCTACTAAATACTATTTAATCATAAATGAACACCAATTAATTTTTATTCTAGTCTTAGTTTCCCCTAATCAATTATTCACTAGTCTTAGCTTTACAAAGCAGCGATAGATTACAATAGGTTGATACTGGTCTCTGTGAGTTCGACAATCTTTTATATTAATTCAATGTTTGCATGCACTTGCAGACGCATCACTTATCATGTATTCCATGTGGCTTTGTTTCTTTTTAATGTTGTAAAAGGGGGAGAAGTTCATGCAAGATCAAAGTTTAAGATGCACATATTCAGGGGGACCTATGATCAAGACAATAAATACTTTGAATGTTTTGCCATCATAAAAATGGGGAGTATGTGAGTGCACTATCCTTTTAGATGTTTTGAATGATGTCAAAACCATAATTGTTCATTGGACCTTAGTCTCTAATTTAGATGTGCATTTTCATATTATAACACTTAAGATCACATAAGAGATGTTTTACAACTTACAAATCAAGCCTTTATGTGAAAATTTAGTGTATAGGTCAACTCATACATGCATAGGTAGACACATGATGTTGGCTTTGCAAAAAGAAACCCTCTAGAAGTTTTAGGTCGACACATAGACTGCAAATTTTCTCTATAGGTTGATACATCTGTATTTTAGATCGACACATGCTCAAAATGTTTTTAGAAAATTAATTTTTTATCAGTTGATCACGACTTTAAGAGTCTATCGGATTTACTGACTGCAAGTGGACAGTCTAATTGCGTAGTTTTAAAAGATATCGAACCCACAAGGACTGATAATCAAACTAATGTTATCTAATATTACTGTGTAAATCTAAGGCTAATGATAATCTTTGGTTTTGAGGAAAACAGGAAATAGATTCAAATTTAATAAAAATATTAAATGACGGGACACATGTATGTAGCTCATCGTTCTTCGGGGATTCGATAAAATGTTGGCGTGTTATAATACTTTGTGTGGAAAAATATTGATTTAAAAGGCTTTATCTCACACTGTCGTGCTATTGACCCTGACAATACTCTTAAGCCAAATTGCTTTGATGTCGCTCACTCATTTAAATTAGAAGTAGTTTTTTAAAATCAACAATTTCTAATTAATCCTAAAGACTTGTCGATGTGTTTAGAATTAATGCTTAATTTCCACTATCCGGTTAAAATCTCAAACTGTCATTCTATTGATCCTAACCTTTACTGGTTTTTTACTTTCGTAGAAAAACTGTTTTTATTCTTTTTAAATTGGAAACCAAAACCAGAAAAATTACTTATAACATAAAAAGCCAATTATCGTCGAATCCCGTCCCGACGACTACTATTACATATAGATATCTAGTTATTTAGTCGGACATGGTTCCACATACAAGCATGCAAGTAAGATCAATAAACATTAAACAAAACATTATTTTAGAAAACATAACAATATTGGAATAAAAGTAAAACGAGGATTAAAACTGAAACTGCAAGTAAAATAGAACGTGAAACAAATTTAACTCTGATTAAAACTGGAAAATACTTCACGTACAATGCTTGAACAAAATCACAACTATGCCGGCAGGATTGAAATACTTTGGTACAAAAATTGAAAATAGAAAATAAACTCTAAATTTAAGGTTGCAATAGTCCTGTGATGTGAAAGATCTATCACTATTTGCGAGTGAGTTTAACTGCCTAAAAAGAAATCTAAGAACAAAGCTCTGGTTGGTAAATTGTGCGACACCCAAACTGTAATTGTCTGTTCCTTTTATAATGCAACCTCCACTTTCTAAATCTCTCCAATAACGTGCGTTTAGGACGATTATCTTGAACAAAGAAGACGAAAAGTGGAGGGATTTTCAGAGGAGAAAAAGCAGGCGCGAAGAATCTGTGGAAATGGCTTCGTGGTGGGGCCACGTTGATGGGTGGCAGGCGCCACTTGACTTGAAAAAAGAACGTGACAGGGGCCACTGATGGTGGTGGGCGCCACTCTCTCGTGTATGGTGGGCGCCACATGTGAGGTGGTGGGCTCCACCTTGGGCCTAATGGGCCTTAGATCTTTTCTTTGTTTTCTTCTTCTTTGTTTTAACACTCCTCTTTTCTCATTTCACTACTTCACTTGAATTATTTATTTCTTCTCTTCTTGTCACTTAAATCTCCCACTCTGTTTGATATTCAGGAAATAAGACAATAATACCGGCATAACAAGGCATAAGTAAAGGAAAAATAAACTAAAAATTCATGCGAGTCAAGTCAAATATACGATATAATTTCGTGTTATCATCAGCATATGTTGACACATACTATATGTTTTCAAAACTAGATGTTTCTGACCATTTCAGGTCGACACAAAATGTCTTCAGGTCGACACATAAAAGGAAATTTGCTCATATAGGTCGACACATGAATACTATAGGTCGACACATACTATTTCATAAAAATTTGTAAATCTCTATAATTTTTTTTTGACACACACATATAAATACAAAGATTTTCATCATCTTCATCCTCTCTCATTGCATTCATACAACAACTACACATATTCATTTTTGTTGTATGATCTTGAGATAGTGTGATAAGGTCCATTTAGGTTGGTTGTAATCAATCGGGTTGAAATTTTTTTGGGGGTTTCAAGATAGATCCACTTGGAGTTTTCTTACAAGATTAGGGTTGATTTAGGAGTTTTGTACAAGATTTCGCAATTCAGATTCATCCGAATGAAAGTTTTGAAGAAAGACATTTCTGTCAAAGGAGTAACGGTAATCGGAGGATCATCGAGAATTGGTAATCTTGAATCACAATAATTTATAATTTGGATTCAATCGAGTGAAAGCTTTGAAGAATGAAGTTTTTGTCAAAGGAGTAGTGTTAACTGGAGGATAAAATTAGAAGTATTGAGTTACTTTATCTTGCTTAAGATCAAGGGAAGAGAATAATATATGAACAACATCAAACATAGAATTTGGAGGAATGGATTACTATTTCTCTCTTGTATTCATACATTTGTAAAGGTTAATAGATTATCTCAATTCCATTTGAAATTGGGGGTAGTCGTACATATAGCTAGACCGATTGGTGAACTGTCCCAACAAATCTTTGTATGTATCTCACTCTCATTATATTTACAATTTGCTAATTCACTCCGTGTTCAATTTCATGTACTAATAATTTTGTTTGTGTTGAAGTATTGTAATCTGTCTTGTAAGATAATTGCAATTTAAGTAATTGTAATTGATTTCTCATACCATCAACACAAAGGAAAATCAACTTGAATTTTATTGCACACTAAGTGTTTGATAAATTGTCTTAGTCAATTTCTATTTTCTGTTTCATTGGAAATAGATTATCAAGGTCTAAAAGTATTCAAATGTATTTTAGAAAAACATATTGATTTATTTTATCATTATTTGTGTTACAATAATATCATAATTAATGTTTATTACGCGCATATCTGTTTCTTTCGATAACGGTTCAGGGTCGACGATTGTCTATCTAGAATTACTTTTGCTTGCCATAGAAAATATTTTAAAATCAATTTTTAATTAGAAAATTGTATTGGAAATCTACTCACCCCTTAAAACTTTTTTTCTCCATAAATGGTCATATCATTGAAAATGTTTATGACGATTTTAAGGTTATTATATTTGAATTATACATTGAGATATAAGATCAATTTTCTATTTTGGAAATGATTCAAAAACAACTTCATACTCATATTTTTTCAAGACTTATATTTTAATCACCAAATATGTGGTGACTCGTTTTATAATAGAAAGTAATATGCTTTATAAATGTTGTAAATAGAAAGTGATATGATTTATGGTTTATGTGGAAATTATCATATTGGTGAAGAAGAAGATGAATGATCTTCTTATTATTCATAAACTAATGATACCATAATACAATTTGAGAATGACATACCAAACGCGTAACCAAACACTCACTAAAATCTAATTAACTTAACTGAAAATACATTTAATAAATTTATGAAAACTCATATCTTTTGATCTTAACTATATAGTTAAAGTTAGCAAAGATTGAATTGAATATTCCCGAATGAAGCATCACCATCGACAAATAACCATACTAGTCGGAATCAGACATGTGTCTAACCGTACAATCACCAAGCACAAACTCATACGTGGCACCCCTTAAACTTCCCACGTGTTTTCAAACATGAAAAATCCAGCGTCATTTATGGTCCAATCATTGTAATTTTCATTTTCACTATGCTGAGTCACACAATATCATCACACGTATCAGAAATAATCACACTTGTCCTCTCCCATGCAAAAACCTTTCATCACCAACCTCTTCAAACCGCCAATACCATTTTCCTTAAATCACACACATTCTCATTCTCATAACCATCGACATACAGAATCCTATAACACAAACACAAGTTCAAACATCATAAAAAAACATCTGAACCCTGAACCAAAACCGTACATAGTACTTTTGTTCTTTTTTTTTTCAAGACCAAACACACATCCATCATCAATGGCATCAGAACAACTATCTCGCAGAGAAAACATCACAACCGAGAGAAAGATCCACAGCGTGGAAGACAATGTCCCTCAAAGGACAGCACACTTCGAGCATAGAGAGACTCGCGAGCTTGGACCAAACGTTCAGTCTCTCCCTCGCAACGAGAATCAAAGTTACATTGATCGTGGTGCACGTGTTCCTCTGACTGCAAATGTATCAGAAAGTTACCTTGATCGTGCAGGTGTTCCTTTGAATGCAAATGTAGGAGAACACCGTGATGTGGGCAAGTTTCAACAAAACATAGCATTGGGAAAAGGACAAGTTGTGGGAGAGAGGGGAAGAGTACTTGGTACTGAAAATCAAGGTGTGATATTGGAGAAAAGTGTTGCGGAGGAAAGAGAGAGAGCGAGAGAGAGAGCAAGAGAAGAAGAAGAGAAAAGGTTAACAATGGAAGAGATATCCAAGTATAGAAACCAAGCTCAACAAAGTGCATTGGAAGCGCTTTCAGAGGCACAAGAGAAATACGAAAGAGCCAAACAAGCAACAAACGAAACACTGAGTAATACAGCACAAACAGCACAACAGAAAGCAGCACAAGCCAAAGATGCAAATCTTGAGAAAACACAACAAGGTTATGAGGCAACAAGAGACACTGTTTCAAATGCTGCAAGAACTGCTGCTGAGAAAGCAGGACAGGCTAAAAATGCAACTCTTGAAAAGACACAACAAGGTTATGAGGCAACAAAAGACACGGTTTCAAATGCTGCAAAAACTGCGGTGGAGTATGCTACTCCTGCTGCGGAGAAAGCCAAGTGTGCGGCTCTGGAAACCGGGAAGACAGCGGCTGAGAAAGCCAAGTGTGCTGCGGAAATTGCCACCAAAGTGGCGGTTGATCTGAAAGAGAAGGCCACTGTGGCAGGCTGGACTGCGTCACATTATGCCACGCAGTTGACCGTGGATGGAACGAAGGCTGTGGCGAATGCTGTTGAAGGAACGGTTGGATATGTTGCACCAAAGGCTTCTGAACTTGCGGCAAAGTCAGTGGAAACTGTTAAAGGTTTGGCTGCTTCTGCTGGTGAGACTGCTAAGGAGTTTACTGCCAGAAAGAAAGAAGAATCATGGCGTGAATATGAGGCCAAAAGGGCTACTCAACTTCAGGTTCTGTTCTCTCTATTCATTACTTTCATTACTCTTTCTCATTTTACTATATATAAGGTATAAAACACTAAAAATTGAGGTTTGATTTTAGGAAGGTGAAGAAATCTTGCCATCAAATGTGAGCAACTATACACAAAAAGTGATACCAAGTGGAGAAAGAACTCAAGCACAAGGAACCAATCTTCAAGAGAAGGTACAAGGAAAAGGAAGTGATATATTAGGAGCTGTGACTGAAACTGTGAGTGACATTGGAAGTAGCATGATTAAACCAATAGATAATGCTGCTAATACTAAAGTTAAGGAACATGGTGGCACAACTATTACTCAAAAGGGACAAGATGCTGGTGGTGTTTTGGATGCTATTGGTGAAACTATAGCTGAAATTGCACATACAACTAAAGCCATTGTTGTTGGTGAAGATGATCAAGTAGAAAAGTCAATGCAGAAGAATACTGGGCCAGATTCTCACTCTCTTGATCGTGCCAAGCATGAGGGATATAGAGCACCAAAGAATAATCTTTCTTAATTCCAAAGTTTGAAGACAATGAATGTGTTTGTTTCATGCAGAGGTTTAGTAATATGTTAATCTTAATTAGCTGTCAGTGAAAAAGTTCAATGTTTTGTGGTTTTCTTTTATATGAAGTTGTGTGAATAAATTGCAATCTCATTCTGAGATTGTCAATAATAGCAAGTATACCTTCTTATGTTAATGTCTTTTGTAAGTCAATGTTGTAATTTGATGCATTTTGAGTGTAATAATATACTTCCTGTATTAATAATAATTATACATTTTATAATTAAGGTGTATCTTTCAATCCAGCACAAGAATCAATCCTTTATAAAAAAAGAACTTCTTGATTACAAGAGTGGCATATCATTAAATTTGACCTGCATTTATACCTTATTTTATAGCAAGAATGAATCAACTTGCATTTACACCCTAGTCAAACATTATTTATTTAATGAATGTGTTACAATATGGTTACTTATTTTATAGCAAGAATGAATCAACTTCCATTTACACCTAGTCAACATTATTTATTTAATGAATGTGTTACAATATGGTTACTATACTATTACTACTAGTTTACTACTATAGGTAAACAAAAGTAATTTATTGGTTTTTTACAGTGTTTCATGCAAAACAAAATTGAAGTGATAATAAATTACTTGCATTACAAGTTACTGTAATTTTGAGCCATTCATGAGTCCCAAATGGGACCAAATGCAGGAATCTTAGCTTTGTTACAAGCTTTAACAACATTTCTACTACCTTCAGGATTACTAGTAACAATAACAACTTCAACATTCCAATTAATAGCAGCATTAACACTAATCTCGGCGACATTAGGACGACCCGAAACTGCGGTATCATGAACAATCACTTTCTCCTTTGAGTATTTTCCAACTAGTTCCTTTATCTCATTTCCAAAGTTCATTTCAATATCTTTAGCAACCCAAATCAAATACACATCAGCTTTGTTTTTCTGCAAGAGAAATGATAAGAACACGCATATTCCAGAACCTGTTGCTACTAGCAACACTTTTTGATACAGGTTTACTAGATAAGGTAATCCAGCAAAATGAACTGAACGAATCCAGAGATGTTTAGGAGGTGAAGAAACTAGTGATTTTGTGAAATCACCAACTGCACCAGCTAGCATCATGTGTTCGTTTTTTCCATCTGATATGATTCCAAATGCATGCCATTCAGATAATGGTGATGGACTGATTCTACCAAATAAACCTGGTTTAACACCACCATCAAATTTGATAATTGAAGCATGATTTGATGGTGCTGTAACATGAACTTGTACTTTTTTGATACCTAACCAAGGAATCAAAATGAGAATTGTGATGGCTAAAGTGAACCAACACTCTTGTTTCTTAACCATCTTTGAAATGGTTAAGTGATAGGTTTTTGAACTTGGCTCATAGCTTATACTAAGAAGAATGAATAACCATAGAAGGATAAGAGCTAACCAACCCGAAAATCTGTGGATTCGCTCGAAAGCATTGTGATGGAGATGGCGGATAAGAGGAAAAGCTGCGAGCGAAGAGAGCGTAATGAGCGAGAGGATGGTGAATGCAACAGCAAGAATCTCGGGCGATGTTTTGTCGTTTTTGATAGTTAGAACGAGAGAATAAACTAGCCATGCTATCGAGGAAACGCCGCAGCTGCTATGAATTCCTCCAACACTTTGAAGAAATGAAGTGGTTGCTGTTTTGATTCTAAGAGAAACAAAAGGCTTCCCTATTGTTTTGACAACAAACCAGAAAAGAAACCTTAACGCAACCTCGCTTCGACATAGTGTTAGAGCAAGAATGTTTCCAATGGAGAAAAGTGTAGCTTTTGATTTACCATATGAAAAATTCCCTGAAGCTGAAAGAGCAAGTGCTAACATATTCAAGGTTATGCAAACTATGAATAGTCCTTTGTAAACTGTGAAACCTTGATCTAGCATAATAATAGACAACCTTGAATTTCTTTTTGTTGCTTCTAATTTCGGCAGTACCTTAATTTTTTCTTGATTTGTTTGTATGTCTTCAACTTCTGATAGAAACTCTAGCTCGATATCATCTGCGTCGATGTTGATGTCACAGAAGTGGCTGCTTGCTCGACTACGTGTCGGACTAATAGCTTGAGGGTGAGGAAGAATTTTGAATGAATTGTTTCTTGTCCATGGAATCCAAAGCCAGGTTCCGATTGATCTCTCTGGCTTTGTTGGTGAATCGATTGCAAAAGGACTGCTTCTTCGGCTAGGATTGATCTCAAATGCAACGCCGCGACAGCTTGAAAATCTTGCTATCTTCGTTAGTTTACCTTCTTCCATTTTGAACTTTGATAATATACTCTTAATTGAAATTCAATTTTAGATAATAATTTCATAATACAATGATTCTCATATATAGTAGAATTGCATTATGCAGGTTATGTGTTATGAAACATTTAAGGAGTATAATGTTAAAATGTCTTGTATATATATATATAGATGATATCGTAACTAAATTGTATTAATGGTAAGAAAGTATTAAATGGGAAATTTTAAATTATTTAGTATAAGATGGTTTACAAATGATTAATTAATACATTCTAAAATTAGGGGCATATTTCAAAGCATTGTATCTGTTATATTATTACTATATTAAGGAGAATATTCTTTTATAGTTCATAATTGAAAACCTCAATGCATATTCTTTTATAGTTCATAATTGAAAACCTCAATGCGAGTAAACCTTTCAGAAATGGAAAACTACTTAACTTATTAAGCAAGTTAAATAACACAAATTACCATGAATTGCTTAGTTACTTTTAAGACTTCAAATGACTCCTTATTCATCTCATGAATATAGTTAGACTTTAGTGAGGTCAATGGACAAAGATAGAAAAAATAATGATGATGTAGTCAAAAATCAATAATTCAATTGTTGTAATTAGTTACTGCGCTTTGGTAATCGGTTATAAGGTGTAATATTTTTGGCTATTAAAACTAGGGATGTTCAAAACCAAACCGGCCCAATAAAAAATCGCAAAACCGAACCGAACCAAACCGAAACCGCAAAAAACCGCATTTGGTTCGGATGTGTTTGAGTCATTTTCTCGTGGAACCGCATGGTTCGGTTCGGTTTGCGGTTTGTATTTTACAAACCGAACCAAACCAAACAAAACCGCATTATGTTATAAAATCTTACTAACCAATATATATCTATAATTCTTTAGAGAAATCAACATGTATTATGTGTATATTTTATCATACTTTGTATTATATTCATTTTAATTTACAAATCATAAAAAATAAAATATTATTCATTTATAAATACTATTTTCACAAAATATATTTTATCATATTCTTTGTATAATATTTATTTAAGAATGCATTCTTGTTGATATCATTATTTAGATTTAGATAAAATTATAATATGCAATTTTATGTATCAAATTATAAATTTATTTTGACAATTATAAATTTTTTATGGTAATGTATGAACAATTAAATATAAAATTATATTTTCCTATATATTTGTATGTATGACATAATAATTATTTTTGTAAAAAACCGAACCAATCCAAACCGCATTAGTTTGGTTTGGTTTGGTTTGGATTTATTTTTAAAAGCCAACCGAACCAAACTGAACCGCATGTTTTCTTCTCTTGCGGTTCGGATGATTTTTTGCTTCAAAACTGCCCAAACCGCACCGCGAACACCCCTAATTAGAACAGGTTTTGTTAGAAGTAATTTATATTCAGAAGTTATTGTTAGAGTCAGAAGTTTTTGAGTCTGAAGCTTATGAGACTATTTAGTCAGAAGCACTAGTTAGATGTTTTCTAGAAGCTACTCTTAGCTGTTAGCTTAGCTATTAAGCATACTTTTGGTTGTGCCTATGTGGTAGTTTATTTTGTGTATTCAAACAAGTTTGTAGTTAGGGTTTTTGTAAGAAAGTTAGTAAAATTTTAGTAAAAGAGTTTCTTTCTCAACAACTTTATCGTAATTGTTTTTCTCTATTTTTCTGTCTCTTCTTCATCTTCATCTTCAATCTTGTGCACCAACAACTGGTATCCAGAGCTCCGGTTCGATTCACAGGAAAATACGAGTGTGTGTGAGGCATGTGTAATTGATTTTGTTTTTTTCTTGAATTCACGATCGAAATCGTAACAGAATTGCATTTCTTAATTTTGCCGGATCAGGAAACACGAGCGTTTGGTGAGATCTGAGATATGTTTATGTTTTAGTGCATAAGAACGAAGATAAACGGCGAAAATAGCTTGAAAATGAAGCTTATGGTGTTTGATGGAAAGAATTGGAATCAGTGGATGATTCAAATGTGTGTGTTGTTTGGTGTTCAAGACGTTCTTGATCTTATCGCCGAAGGTTACATTCTGATTGCAGCGGGTGCGACAGGAATATAGAAACACGTAAAGAGATACGAGGAAGAAATATTATAAAACGTTGTTCTACATCCATCAGTGTGTAGATGCGAATGTGTTTAAGAAAATCGATGATTCGATTGCGTGAGATATATTGACACGGTGCTATGGAGATGATGCATTGGTGAAGAAGGTGAAACTTCAATCTCTACGTAAGCAGTATGAGAATCTCAACATGAAGAACAATGAGAAGGTACCAAATTACACTTCTAGAGTGATTCTGATCACAAATTAGATAAAATTGTGTGGAGGAACTCTTTCTGAACAAGTAATCATTGAGACGATATTGAGATATCTTACTCCTCAATTTGATTACATTATTGTAGCAATTGAATATTCTAAAGATATGAACACCATGAGAATTGAAGAGCTGTAAGTAGTCAAGAGGCACAATAATTGCGTTTGACTGTGAAAACCTCTGAGAGAGAGGTAGAGCAGGCTGTGACGCTGTCATATGGTAAGAAGTATTATAAGAAGTCTTGGTTAGAGGCGAAGAAGAGACACGGTGGTTCTCAGAAGTCAGAAGTGTGAGTGCAACTTTACTATTAGAGGTTTTGCATGATTTCAACACTCGGAAAGCTAGCATTTCAGTATGGTGAACAGTATCCTTATGTCTTGTGGCACTCCCTTGCATTAGAGGTCTTAGGAATCATTTAAAACAACTTTAAAATTGGTCCCAATCATGAAAAATCAGCTTTTGTACAAAATCATCACTTATGTGTCAAAGTCCTATTTAGAGTACTCCCAGCTCCAATTTCTTTATTGATTCTTCTTCCTTGAACTTTACTGAAGCTAACAGAAGGAGAATTAAGTCTTGAGGTGCTCTAAATCGTGCAAGCCAAGTCAAGTTTGGGAGCAATTTCTTCAAACTTCGTTCAGGTAGTTTAAGACATCAATTCTTCTAACTCAAATTACTGGAATGATCTATGATGTTCATTGATGCTTGTTGATGGTTTAATTTTGATTAATTGATGCATTTGATGCATCTACTTGCGAATTCAAATCCTTCGAAAATTCTCTGGTTTTTTTCAAATCGAGTGAGCTACACTTTAAATAAATTTTCTACGAGCATATGGCCGTGATCGTCTCAAGTAGACGCATCTAATGGTACCACTATAAACGTGTATATTTACAGATTTAAGGATATGTGTTTTTCCCTAGTTGCAGAGGCTGGAGGTTGAAGACGACCTACATGTCGTTCTTCAATAAATGATACACAGCCAAATGTTTTAATTTGTTTGGTTGGATTTTTTTTGTTGCATGCGCGCGTTTCATTGATGATCACCATACGTCCTAGCTTCAACGTCCTTAGATTTTCCAGCGTGTACAAGTGAGTTGAATCCAACGCGTGACATTTTTTGAATTATTTTTATTTTTTGATTTTTGACATAATTGTTTAAACTTCAAAAATTCATAAAAAAATCATTTCAACTTCTAAAATTCTGAAAAAAATTCTAAAAAATACTTTTGATTTTTCTCTTTTTGATTTCTATTTTTTCCACAATTTTATGTTGTGATTTAGTATTTTTTTTTATGATTTTTCACTTTATTTGAATTGTTTTAATGGTTTAAAAATATTTTTCTTAATTTTTAAATTTTGAAAAAATATGGAATGATCCAATGACCTCTTGGCAAATATTGGTAACCTCATTTTTTTTTTTATTTCTGAATTTACTATTTTTGGTTTATTTTGCTTACTTCTTTGAATTTAAAAAAAAATAGTTGTTGACTTTAAAAAAATTCTAAAATTTTTTGTCAACACTTATTTACTCATGTTTGACCTCTGACTTTGTTTTGGGATTTTTATTTGGTGTCTTAATATACTTTGTGTATTTTACCAATTATTTTCCTTTTATTAATCATTTAAATATTGTTTTATTGGATTTTATTTTATTATTTTTGTTTGGTCTTGATTTGGATCTTATTTTGGGACAAGTTCCTCAACCTCATTAGATCTTGGGTGTTGATAGGTTAAAAAATCAAATCCACAAAAATGAATGTATGATGTTGATGATATTTGAAACCCTAATTTCATCTCATGCACCCCCTTTCTCCTCGTCTTATTCCTTTCTTACTTGTGCTACATATTGTTGGAGAGTAATCTACATATCATTTCTCTAACATATGGTACATAGATTACTATTTACCGACCTCAAAAAAGGTGTGACTTCTATGTAAGTCCACTTACGATTTCTTAACATAACGTAAATTTGTCTCGATTCGAAAAATGATCATTCGTGGCTCAAACCTATATTTGCAAGCCCAAGTTTGTTTAATTTTAAATATTTGATCCAATAACATTGAGGTTAATTGTTAGGAGGCTTTCATCTTATCAATCCTCTAATAAATTTTCATAAATTTTGGCCTAAGTGAATCATTTAAATATCATTAATCATATATGCTTGCCTTGAGTACTTGAAATGAATGATATACTTGACAAAAAAAATGAAACTTATTGTTGAGAAGCTTTGATTTTATCAATCTTCTAATGAGTTTTCAAATGCAAGTTTCAAGAGGGTCATTCAACTAACCACTAAATTCTAATTCATTAACATTTGACTTTACTTTGTGCTTTTAAATTGTGCTTTTACTTTGCGCTTTTACTTTATGCCCTTTATTTTATGTTTTTACTTTTATGAACCATTTACTTAAGAATTTAGATTTTATGTTATTTTTATATTTGCTCACTTGAACATTTATCTTTATGTCATTTTATTTTTTCTCACTAGAGCATTTATCTTTATGTCATTTTTATTTTGCTCAATTGAACCTTCATTTTCTTTTTGAAGACACTTAATAACCAACTTAATCATTAAAAAGTATTAAGGTTACTTGGACTATTTGGTTACTATCCTTGGCATAATGGAGTTATGGACCTCTTGGACTTAGGATTAAAAGCCTTAATTA